TTTTTTCTTTTTGCTTATGTGGTGCTGAGGAATCGAACCCAGGGCCTCAGGCATGCAAGGCAAGCGTTCTACCACTGAGCCACCTTCCCAGCCCAAATTTCTTTCTCTTATTGTATGTCTGTGTTGATACCCAGCCTTGAACTTTTGCTTGGCTTTCTTGCCAACATTTGGCATTCTACCACCAGAGCCATGCCTCTAGCCCTGATTTTTGCTGGTTATTTTGAAGTCAAGTCTCAAAGACTTTTCTGTCTGGGCTGGCCTTGAAACATGATCCTGAGATCTCAGCCTGCTGAGTAGCTAGGAGGACAGGTGTGAGCCACTGGTGCCTGGCTCCAAATTAATTCACTAAATGAGTCACCCCTGAGCTCGAAGCTCAGAGGGCTCCGGATGCTATGGGTCTACGATGTGGAGCAGCAGGGGGAGCGTGGGCAACAAACAAAGGGATGTCACCAGATCTTCCTTGAGTTTAGGTTGCTATTAAAATGATCAAAAGCCAGGTGCTGGTGGCTCACGCCTGTCATCCTAGCTACTCAGGAAGCTGAGATCTGAGGATTGCGGCTCAAAGCCAGCCTGGCAGGAAAGTCTGTCAGTCTCATTTCCAATGAACCACCAGAAAATGGGGAGTGGTGCCATGGCTCAAGTGGTAGAGCACTTAAGCTGAAGAGCGTAGGGCTGGCGCTCAGACCCAGAGTTCAAGACCCACAAAAAACAAAGCAAAACAAAACAACAACAATAAAATGATTGAGGATGCAGAAAATGCAATCAACGGACAGGTGACAACAGGTGCCGTGAACTTAAAAAACTTGACAGCGTTACAGCCTCATAGAGGAGAAAGCCACAACGAATAGAGACACGCATCAAAGTGCTCCCAGAAATTGCTCATCATGTCCCCACAAACCCCTCAGCTCCTGTGACACGGGCTGGGGAAGATGGCCGAAGGAAATCTTGTCCAACCCAGTCTTAGCTTGCTGTAGAAGCTCACATGGCTGTCCCCAAGTCTGCCACCTCCCGTGCCACCCTGTGGTACCCCCTGCCTCCTGCGCATGCATGCTCCCCCAAAACAAGGGTGGGGTGACCCTCTGTGACCTTTGGCCACAGGCTCCACCGTGGTACTGGACGCACTTGGACTATTTGGGATAATCAAGCCTCTCTGACGGGAGTGGTCTGGAATGGCCTGTCACCCGCCTTGCCTGAGCCACTCCTGGTTTAAGCCTGGGTCCCAGGAGGCAGGAGACTGTGGAGCTGTGCGGAGCTGGCCGGAGCTGGTGCTCGTCCGGCAGCGCAGGTGGGCAGCCAGGCCTGGTCACGGGGTCCTCAGTGGGTACCGGCCGACCCATTGCTGCATGATTGAGGATTTGGGGGGTTCATTCTGTGCATTACTGTGACTCCCTGACTCCAGAGACTGGAAGCTAGAGATGGATCAAGTTTGGGGTTTGGGATGGAGCCACAGGTATAGGCTGGAAAGATGGCACTCTACATCGAATGGTGAATATTTAGCAAAACTCATTTGTGATCCCTTAGAAGACAGAGTTTGGGGAGTCCGGTCGTGGGGCCTGAACTCTGGGCCTGGGCACTGTCCCTCAGCTCTTCAGCTCAAGGCTAGCACTCTACCACTTGAGCCATAGTGCCACTTCCAGCTTTTTTTATTCTGCTTATGTGGTGCTGAGGAATTGAACCTAAGGCCTCATGCATGCAAGGCAAGTGCTCTATCACTGAGCCACCTTTCCAATCCTAGAAGACAGAGTTTGGGACTTGCATGAAGAGATACTAAGCACCAGAGTAAAGAGGTTTTACAGGCTGAATATGTGATTAAGTACTACAAAGAAAATACATTAAAAAAAATCCATTTCCAAGCAGAATTTAGAAGGCATATAGAAAGTGGAAGATTTGCTAAAGACAGTTTTTATCTTCTCAAAGTTAGACAAGGGCCAGAGGACAGCGATGTTGAGGTAGTTCATCACTAAATGTTAAGTCCACGGGGGAACCAGGAAGCCCGAAGGTAATGCCTTTAAAACTCGCCAGGGAGCCGGGCGCTGGCGGCTCACGCCTATAACCCCAGACACTCAGGAGGTTGAGATCTGAGGATCATGGTTCAATGGCAGCCCAGGCAGATAAATCCCAGAAACGTCTATCTCTAATGAACCAACCAGAAGCTGGATGTGGGGTGTGTGGCTCAAGTGGCAGAGCGCCAGCCTTGAGCGAAAAAACTAAGAGGCAGCGTCCAGGCCCTGAGTTCAAGTCCTAGTCCTGGCACAGTAACACCTGCCAGGAATTAAGCTGGTGTGGAGCAGCTCTGCTGACTGGCTGTCCGGCCACCCCGCTACCCAGCACCCAGGGCAGATTGTGGGGAGACAGTACCGATCACCGAGTTTAGAAAGAGAAGCAAGATTTCAAAAGAGGGGCGTGGCTTTTGGCACCAAGATAAATGAGAATCACCTGGTTTTTAAGATAGCTCTATTGGCGAAATGACCACAGACTGGTCTGCAGCCTAACTAGAAGCCCTCCTGCTCCAAGCTTCCCGGAGTCCATTCTGTCATTCTTTCCCGCGTGGCTAAGGGAGGCGTAGGAAAGGAGGTCCCGGTGGCAGAAGCATGAACCAGGAGCACCCGACACCGGATCAGGAAACCTCCCGGCCCCAAGTGCGGGCCGTGGTCTCTGCCAGGGCTCTCCCACAGGCTGGGTGTGATTTTGGAGGGCGTGAATGTGTCCGCCTGTCAGGGAGGTGGGCCCCATGCTAGGGATAAAGAGGGAGTGCAGCTGTAAAAAACGCTCCAGATTCTTCCTCCCTGAGGAAGGTCTCTGACCTCTGACCTCTCCCCTGTGACCTTTGGTGAGGCTGGCTGGGTGCACTCCGCCTGTCCCCAGCACCAGGCCCGGCCCCACGGCTTGCCATGCACACAAATGCTCTAAGCAGGTGTATACATCAGGGCTTGCTTGCACCTCTGCCACAGTCCCAGAAGGGCCAGCGATAACGGAGCAGTGCCAGAGTGCCCAGCCAAGGCCAGCCACAGCCGGCTGGGGCTCAGCCACGCTCAGTGGACATCCAGCCTTCCCCACACAGTGGCTAAACTAGCCAACAACAACAATCCTCTCCTGGCCTGAAGTATGTGGGCAACAAATGTTCATTACAATAGGCCACCAAGGTAATGGTTGTTACACAGCATCATTACACTGGTGGCTAGCTGATACCAATACACATACCGAAAGGAGAATAGTTTGTTGAATCATCTACTCTGTTGATTTTGGGGTGCGCGCACACAGTGTTGGGGATGCCTCCAGGCTTCTCACATGCTAGGCAAGGGTTTTCCCACTGAGCCTCATGCTAAACCTACCAGTCCACTTAAAAAATTACTAAAATGCCTAACCAGCATGCAGACATTCATTGCTTTTGTGTGTGTGTATGTGTGTATGATGGTTCTGGGGCTTGAACTCAGGGCCTAGGTGCTGTCTCTCAGCTTTTTCACTCGAGATTAGCACTCTACTACTTGAGCCACAGCTCTTGGAGTGGTTAATTGGAAATAAGAGTCTCACGGGCTTTCCTGCTCGGGCTGGCTTTGGACTGCGGTCCTCAGACCTCAGCCCCTCAAGTAGCTAAAATTACAGGTGTGGCCACCAGTGCCTGGCTGACTCGCATTGCTTGGGTGTCTAGTCTAGGAATGCATGTTCACAAACCCATCTTTTCGCAGGGAATGACATGGGTGTGCGGCTGTGTGACACGTGCGTCGCCCCCCCCCCCCCCTCGGCCATGGGCTTGGGCGGAGGCCAGGCGGCGCCGCGCACTCACCGGTGTGCGAGCGCAGGTGCACGGTGAGCTGGCTGGAGTTGCGGCTGGCGTAGGGGCACAGCTGGCACTTGAAGGGCCGCTCGTCCGAGTGGATGCGCAGGTGCTTGTTGAGGCTGCTGCTGTCGGCGGCCGCATAGTCGCAGGTCTTGCACTTGTAGGGCTTCTGGCCGGTGTGGCAGCGCGTGTGCGTCTTCAGCTTGTCCTTCCGGCTGAAGCACTTGCCACACGTGTCACACTTGTGCGGCTTGTCTCCTGCATACACAGGACACACCAGCTATCACGTACCGGGACACACAACCCCGAAACGTACACCCGTGGAGGGCAAGGGGCCGGACAGTTAGTTGGTTATTGCAATTACTTGCTTATTTTTAAAAGAGGCATACGAATTCCTTATTAACTAAAATGCTAAAACAAAGTTTAAAGTATAGCCAGGGATGGGGTGGGGATTGAGAACATGAAGGAAGGCTGTCGTTGTCCAAAGAGAAACGTACTCATTCTCTGACTTACGAAATGGTGACCCCCTTGTACAACACCTTAACCAGAACAATAACGCTATAATGAAAGGGCTGGGAAGGTGGCTCAGTGGTAGAGTGCTTGCCTAGCATGCGTGAAGCCCTGGGTTCGATTCCTCAGTACCACATACACAGAAAAAGAAGAGGTGCTGTAGTTCAAGTGGTAGAATGCTAGTAGCCTTGAGCAAAAGCAGCTCAGGGACAGTGCCCAGGCCCTGGGTTCAAGCCCCAGGACTGAAGAAACAAAACCATACAATGCAAAGTAAAAGTATAAGGGCCTGGGTGTTTTTTTTTTTTTACTTAAGTCTGTTGCTTTACCACTTGAGCCACAGCTCTACTTCTGGCTTTTTGCTGATCAACTGGAGATAAGACTCTCAGAGACTTTTCTCTGGGGCTAGCTTCTAACTGTGATCCTCAAATCTCAGCCTCCTGAGTAGCTAGGATTACAGGTGTGAGCCACCAGCACCTGGCTGAGCACCGGGGGCTGCCACATACTCTCTGTGTTAGGCATATGGGGTGGAGGGAGGGCTGGCTGCGTTCAGCTGACCCTGCAAGGTCAGAGTCCGGGGAGGGCTGCTGTTCCCCGGGGCCCCTGCTGTCTGCGGCGACCCTGTGGTGCTGCTGGGCGAGCTTCAGGCCGCAGAAACTGCACGCGCATGGGCTCGGCTGGGTGCGTGCGCACAGGGGAGATTCAAAGTCGTCTCGGTTTCTGTTTCCCAGTGGCTGTTCCCCACAGGTCAGCGCTAACCACGCTGTGCCTGGCGGATGGGCTGTGCCCACTCAGAGCCGCATGGGGGCCACGCCCTTCCTGTAAGAGGCTCTCCGCTTCCTCAACGCGGAACCTGCTCCACGAGAACGAAGCCCAGCAATGGACGCCATGCACTGAGATGGTGATGGCCCTGGGTGAGGACGAACAGCCCGGCCAAGGGACCCGGAAGCCACGTCGCCAGACTCACTCACTGCTGCGTGGCTGGTGAGCACAGCGCCCTCCACAGACAGCTGGCCGACTAAGCCGGGTGTCTGTCTGTCCTCCTTATTTCCCTCCCTCCCTCCGTCGTTCGTTTTTGGTGACACTGAGGTTTGAACGCGGAGCCTGTGCTTGCGAGGCAGGTGTTACTCACACAAGTCCGCACCCTTTACTCACGAGCGGTAAGTTCTTGCCTTAAAATTGCCTAACAGTGCCATGTGCTGGTGCTTCACGCCTGTCGTCCTAGCCTGAGAGGCGGAGAGCGAAGGATCAAAGTTCAAAGCCAGACTGCTGTCCAGGAGGCTCTTAGCTTCAATTCACTAGCAAAGAGTTGAAGTGGAGGTCTGGCTCAAGTAGTAGAGCACTCGCCCTGAGTGGGAAAAGCCAAGTGAGAGCGCGAGGCCCCGGGTTCAAGTCTCAGTACCACTGCGTGCGCACGCGCACACAACCAAAATCCTGGTAAACACCAAAGCAACGCCTCCCTGCAAAACCAGGTTTTCCATTGGTGGCTTCAACCACAAAGACAAACCACCACAGTAGGAAGGCGTGGCACCGCCACCACTTGTGGAGTGTGCTGCTGCCAGCGGCCCAGCGCTCTGCGCTGCTGCGAGGCTCTGGCGGCTGAGCCGCTGCCTCCTTAGCCCCGATTCTTCTTTGGTTGGTATTACCCACTGCTCGTTCAGAGGTGTGTGGCTCCATACGCCAGGTTTGAGCACCATGCAGCTTGGCCAGTGGCGCTCCTTCCATACTCCCCATTACCCCCCTCCTGCTCTACTCAAGTCCCGTAGTTAACTTCTACACAGTGTGCGTTAAATATAATGACCGCATTCACTCCCCCTTCTGTCCTCCATTCCCAGGCCACCCCTCTGCTCCCCCCAGGGAGGAGTTCCACCCCGGACCCTCCCTAGCATACTGTCCCTTAGTCAGTTTGTGTGTGAATATGCACAAAACCATGGCCATGGTACCACCTGGGGTTGTATTTTAGGTCTAGTTATTTTCTTTCTTTTTCATTTTTTCTTATTTTGCCAGTCCTGAGGCTTGAACTCAGGACCTGGGCACTGTCCCTGAGCTTCTTTTGCTCAAGGCTAGCACTCTACCACTTGAACCACAGTGCCACTTCTGGCCTTTTCTGTTTGTGTGGTACTGAAGAATCAAACCCAGGGCTTCATGCATGGAAGGCAAGTACTCTACCACTAAGCCACATTCCAGTCCTAATTAAGTCATTTTCTAGAAGGGACTTGATCTTCTTCAGATTGGCATCTTGGGGTAGGGTAGGGCTCTGAAAGCAACACAGACATAAAGGGGTGCCGGTATTAAATACAGTTAAGGTTAGCGAGAGCAACCACCTTTCTCCTTCTCTGCATCTATTTCTCTCTCTGGTACTGAGGTTTGAGTTTGGGTTCCTCCTTGTAGGCAGGTGCTGACTGTTTTGGTACTTGAGCACCACCCCCTGCCATTTTTGCTTTAGTTACTTTTAGGTAGAATCTTTTTTATTTTTTGCCAGTCCTGGGACTTGAACGTGGGTGCTGTCCTTGAGCTTCTTTTGCTCAAGGCTAGCACTCTACCACTTGAGCCACAGCTCTACTTCTGGCTTTTTCTGTGTATGTGGTACTGAGGAATCGAACCCAGGACTTTGTACATGTTAGGTGAGCACTCTACCACTAAGCCACCTGCCCAGCCCTAGGTAAAATCTTACAGTTTTGGCTGCGTAGGACTCCAGAGCAGCTGAATGACAGCACCCACGGCCTGGCCTAGCTTTCGGTTGAGGGCAGTCTCATTTTCTGAAGCACAGGGCCCAGGTTGGCCTCAAGTCCCCATCTTGCTGATTTCTACTTCCCAACTAGCTGGGATTACAAGCAGAGGCCACCATGCCCAGCCTTTCCCCTGTCCTTCGCGAGCGTGTGTGCTCACTGCATGCCAGTACTGGTGTTTGAAATTATGGGCCTTGCACCCTGGCTTGGCGCTCTACCACTTGAGCCATAGCTCCAATTCCAGCTTTTTGGTGGTTCATTGGAGATAGGTCTCGTGGACTTTCCTGCCTGGGCTAGCTTTGAACCTGAGTCTCAGATCTCAGTCCCTGAGTAGCTGGGAGCCACCAGCACCTGGCTCGGCTGCATTTTTACTGCTGTAGACATTTTCAGCCTACTTCCCGGGTAGAGGAGTCCTCTGTGTGACGTCACTGTGAGCTGCCCCCGCGTGTGCTGTGGGGGCTGGGGGTGCATGGGGCTCTCTCGGGGACGGGACGTGTCACTCACCGGTGTGAATCTTCAAGTGCCGCTCCATGTCCTTCATGCCATAGGCCGTCTTAAATTGGCAACCTAAACAAACAAAGCCAAGGGGGGATTGGCTGCGAACGGAAACCTGGCTGCGGAGCAGAGAAAGCAGCAGAAATGTCCCGCACTGACACGGGCCACCATCACAGCAAGCGCACCAACCTCACGGTCGCCCCACCCCTGAACTCAGGTACGAATGTCACAGCCCGCTTCACACCAAGGACTCCTGTGGTCCTGGGAAACTGCACCACCTCAGTCCACCACAAAGAGGCACCAGACAGGCCCAAGTGGAGGCCCAGTGGCAGCATGCTGGCCTAGCATGCACGAAGCCCTGGGCTCCATTCCTCAGTACCACAGACACAGAAAAAGCTGGAAGTGGTGCTGTGGCTCAAGTGGTAGAGTGCCAGCCTTGAGCAAAAGAAGCTCAGGCCTTCAGTTCAAGCCCCAAGACTAGGGAAAAAAAAAAAAGTGTGGAACTACACCTGTAGCTCACGCCTCTCATCCTAGCTGCTCGGGAGTCTGAGATCTGAGGATTGAGAATCGAAGCTAGTCCTGAGCTAGAAAGGCCATGAGAGTCTCCAATTAACCACCAAAAAGCTGGAAATGGAGCTGTGGCTCGAGTGTAAAAAGCTAAGCGAGGGTATGAGTTCAAGCCCCAGGTCTGGCACACACACACACGTGTTTCAGAATCACAAGAGAGAAGTCTGTCTGCTTATGAATAGAGAAGATGAAGACCCAGATATGGTGAGTGGGCCCAGGCTAGGGCGTAGGCAGGGAGGACAGACACCTGCTTAGAAGGGGGTCCCCAAGAAGCCGCCGGGCACAGTGTGCAGATCGCCCAGTCCTGCCGTGCCCCTCCCTCCACCCAAATGCTAACTTCTTCACATTGAGAACGGTCCTGTGCCACATCAAACAGAAGTCCTTGTTTGACAAAGCAAGTACAGGAGAGTGTTAACATGGGGGCATGGAAATGTGAGACAGACGGGGCCCCTGCAAGTTCTGCATAAGCCCGAAAGGTTTCTAAGTTGTAAGTTAAAGGCCCTGTGGCCGTGGGTCTCAGAGCCACCACTAGGCCTGGTGACCAGCACACCGAGGAGGTGGCATGTGCTCTGTAGAGCTACAGAGCACTTTTTTGGGGGGTGTGTGTGGATGGGGGAGGTAATACTGAAGTTTAAAAATCTGCGTCTCCCACTTAGTTGGTTTGCCTGCTCATATCTGGTGGTGCTCTACCACCTGAGCCATGCCTCCAGTCTAGCCTTTTGCTGATTAGTTTAGAGATGGGAGTCTCAAGGACTTTTCTGCCCAGGCAGGCTTAGAACCTTGATCCTCCTCCTGAGTAGTTAGGCGGACAGGCATGAGCTACCAGTGCCTGGCTAGGGCTGGGTTTTTTTAAGCCAGGTGCTTTGGCTGTGGGAATGGACAGAAGAGCCCTGGAGCCAGGACTTGTGGCCCGCCCTCTGCCCACTGGGAGGCTACCTGGGTAGCAGCAGTTCAGCCTCTTCTGGGCAGGGGCGGCCGCCGGCTTTTTGGTGCGTGACTTGGCAGGGAGAGAGATGACGGTGGTGGTCTGGTTCTCGCTGCTTTCCGTCGGCAGGTATGTTTGATAGCCATGTTCAAACACAAACTCTGGAGCTGAAACTAAAGGAGGGGCGCCTGTCAATATCCTAAGTGTGAATATCCACAGCCATTTGCTTTGTCCCAGCAAACCTGCCAGACTGCCTTCCCTTGGTGGTCCGGAGTGATCATGTGACCTAGCGGCAGCCAATGAAGCACTACAGAATGTCTGGAGCTTCAGTCAAGGATTTTTCTTTTTTTTCTTTTTTTCAGGTCCGGTCGTGGGCCTGAACTCTGAGCCTGGGCGCTGTCCCTCAGCTCTTCAGCTCCAGGCTAGCGCTCTACGACTTGAGCCACAGTGCCACTTCCAGCTTTTTTTTTTCCTGCTTATGTGGTGCTGAGGAATTGAACCCACGGCCTCATGCATGCAAAGCAAGCACTCTACCACTGAGCTACCTTCCCAGCCCCTGTCAAGGATTTTTCTTGGAAATGGCGCTGTGGCTCAAGTGGTAGAGCACTCTCCTTGAGCTGAAGAGCTGAGGGACAGCGCCCGGGCCCAGAGTTCAAGACCCATGACCAATGACAACCACAACAAAATGTTTTCTTCCTGATTAAAACAAACAAACAAACTGTGAGGGATGGGAAGGGAACAGCGGAGGACAGTTCCTTCTGGAAGCCCTGTATATATATTTTTTTGTTTTGCTTTGCTAACCCTGGGGCTTGAACTTGAACGTGATCCGCCCACCTCTGCCGAGTGGCTGTAGACACAGGCGTGTGCAGCACACTCGGCCTGGGCAGGAGGTTCACACTGAATTCCAGCCCTCAGCCTCCCGGGAGCCACCTCTGCCCCTCAGGCCATTTTGTTTCCAGAATATTTAACTCGCGTCAGGCGGAACATTAGGACCTATTTTGGCTTGTTCCATGGCAGCAATATCTGGGCCATACGTTTCAGGAATTAATTGTATTGTTTGTTATTAAATTTGGTATTTTATTATTTGTTTTTTGGTCAGTGGTGAGGATTGAACTCTGGGCCTAGGCGCTGCCCCTGCACTCTTCAACTTAAGGCTAGTGCTCTACCACTTGAGCCACAGTGCCACTTCTGTTTTTTTCTGTGTATGTGGTGCTGAGGAATTGAACCCAGGGCTTCATGCATGCTAGGCAAGCACTCTACCACTGAGCCACATTCTCAGCTCTGGATATTTTTATTTATTTATTCCGAGTACTGGGATTTGAACTCTGGGCCTTGAGTTTGCTAGGCAGATGCTGCTACTTGAGCCATGCCCCTTGCCCCTTTTCGCTTTTAGATATTTTTATGTATTTTTTGCACTAGTACTTGGGTTTAAGCTTTCCCCATTTTTTCCCCCCACTGAAGGCCAGTGTTCTACCATTTCAGCCACACTTCCACGCCATTTGGACATTTGCTAATTTGGACATAAACATCTCTTGGATATGTCTGCCTGGGCTGACTTCAAACTGTGATCCTCAGATTGCAGCATCTTGAGTAGCTGAGATTACAGGGGTGAGCCACTGGTGACTGGCATGCTATTTTTCACCAGGGTCTCATTTATGCTTGGGCCAGCCTGGACCTCGATCCTCCTGTTTACTCTTCCTGCAGTTGCTGGGATTGACAGGTGTAAGCCACTGTGCCCAGTCAAGTGCTTTCTTTGCATACACAAGGCCCTGGGTTCTGGTTCCATTCCCAGCACCACACAACAAACTAACAACACAGCAACAACACACACGGCTGGGAAATGACTCCCAGCCCTTTGGCTTTAACCAGGGACTGCAGGAATGAGCAGGGACTGCCACCTTCTTCCCCACACCCGAGCCTCGGCGGCCCTTGCTCCCGTGTGCAGTCTCTGGCAGAAGGGAGGAGCCGGGGCCCAGGCCAGTCTGGAAAGCCAGGAGGGAGGCTGGGGTGAGGACGGTGAGCCCAGGGTCCCTAGGGAACTTGTTACCTCACAGCAGGCACCAGGCCCTTAACGAGGTCCCCGGGGAGCCCAGCTCCCAGGCTGGACAGCTAATGGGGCCCTAGGCCCAGACTTGGGGGGAGAGGGGGAGTGGAGTTCAGAAGTGCGAAGGGGAAATACAAGGCCAGTTCTGCTTGCTTCGCTGGCGCCCAGGGGCCTCTGTAAAACCTGAACGCAGAGCCAGCCAGCCGAGCCAGCGAGCAGCTGCAGCAAGGTGGAGGCGGGCTGAGCCCCCTCTGCCACGGTCCCCGCTAGGCCTCCCCCCTCCCTTCACCGATTCATTCTCTCATTCCCGTTACTTATGTCGCTTCCTGTTCTAGAAGCTTCTCTGGAAAGTTCAGGCCCCACAACATTGCTGCATATGGGTTGTTGTTCACCTTGCATTGAAAAATCTTCTAAATGTGATATATACAATGGAATTCTATGCCACCATCAGAAAGAATGGCATTGCCCCATTTGTCAGGAAATGGAAAGACTTGGAGAAAATTCTATTAAGTGAAGTAAGCCAGGCCCAAAGAAACATAGGTCCCATGGTTTCCCTTATTTGCAATAACTAGTATATGTTTGAGACAAGCAGAAAAGATCAGATAAGATGATGTTAAGTGAAGTGAACTTCCAGATACGGACACAAGTGGTTTTTTCTTTCTTGCTACTGCTTCTAACGTATTTATGAGGTACCACATGATTTTTTTGTTGCTTTGTATGTCCCTTTCCCATGGTATAACCCCTGCTTTCACTGTATTTGATGTTGGTATAATTTGGGGAAGGGAAGGGAAAAAAATAAATTGTTTAAGTAGGGATACAGGTGGACCCATTGCAACAATGAGATGTACAAGATGCAATGTCGAAAAACGAACTTTACAATTTAGGTGGGGGGGGGTTAGGAGGGAGTGCAGTTGTGGAGATGGAAGGGATGGTGGGGAAAATCAAAGGAGAAGACAACAATGCTTGACAAGCAGTGCACTCATCACCTCGCTCATGTGACTAACCCCTCCTCTGTACAGTACTCACAATAAAAAACTTATAAGTGACTGAAAAAAAATCTTCTGTCTACCACCTTCCCAAGACCAAGCCATCTTCAACTGTCTAAATTCCAGGAGCTAACGGACAGAGTTGTCTGCACATGCATAACATGTCTACTTTTTCTACAGTATTAGCTGCAACCGCAGATCCTGTTTTATAGGATAAATGCCTAGATGCAGACTTATAAAACATGTTTACATACATTTTAAAACCAATTAAAAGCCAGGTGCCAGTGGCTCATGCCTGTAATTATAGCTACTCAGGAGGCTTTATATCCAGAGGATGATGATTTGAGGCCAGCCCAGACAGAAAAGCCCTAGAGATACTGTCTCTAGTTAACCAGCAAATGCCAGAGTGGAGGCATAGCTCAAGTGGTAGAGCATCAGCTGTGAGTGAAAAAACTGATTGACAGCATGAGGCCCTGTGTTTAAATTCCATGTCACCAAAACAAGGAAGAACCAAAAACATAAAGTGAGCTGGTTTAAAGTTTATGACTCAGAAATCACAGGACATCACAAACCTACCCAGGTTTGGAATAAGCTGAGGGACAGCTCCTGAGCCCGGCTTCAGCTACAGTACCCTCACCAATGGGGTGATGCAGGACTTCCTTTAGCACCCGTGTTTCTGTGTGTCTGTCACCTGCTGCCTTCACCAACTCTATGCTATTCTTGCTCCTGGCTTTTGTTGATTTTTTTTTAGCAGTTCTTCACATATGATGGCGTTAGCTGGGTATGCCACAAAGTTTTTCCTAAGTTGGTTGGTTGTATTCAGGCTCTTTAGCTTTTACTTTGAAAAGAACATACATAGACTAGGCAGCGGTGGTTCACACCTGTAATCTTAGCTACCCAGGAGTTCCAAAGCCAGCCAAGGAGCTTAGAGACTCTTATCTCCAAGTAACTACCCCAAAAAACCTGGAAGTGGATCCGTGGCTCAAGTGGTAGAGTGCCAGCCTTGAGCTTTATAAAAGCCCAAGGACAGTACCCAAACCCTGAGTTCGAGTCCCAACTCTCCCTTCCCCACTCAAAAGATAAGTAACTTTATTTGCAAACATGTTGCCGATTCTTTCCTTTGGGAGGAGTTGCTCTATAATCTGCCTTTTTTTTTTTTGCCGGTTGTGGGGGCCTGAACTCTGGGCCTGGGTGCTGTCCCTTGGCTCTTCAGCTCAAGGCTAGCGCTCTACCACTTGAGCCATAGTGCCACTTCCGGCTTTTTCTGCTTATGTGGTGCTGAGGAATCGAACCCAGGGCCTCATGCATGCAAGGCAAGCGCTCTACCACTGAGCCACCTTCCCAGCCCCTAATCTGCCTTCTTTAGCAAGCACATGAATATACTTTCTCTGTGCATGTAACAGTGTGAATCTCTGAATGTGTACATCGTGTGTGTCCGAGTATGTATAACTATGTGTGTGGCTAATGTTTACTGTGGAACCAGAGCAAGCAGAGCAAGCTCATTTTGAATCTGGAAGTTTCTGATCACCTGTGTCTTTTTTTTTTTTTTTTTCGGTCAGTCGTGGGGCTTGAATTCTGGGCCTGGAGCTGTCCCTGAGCTCTTCATCTTCAGCTCAAGGCGAGTGCTTTACCACTTTAGCTACAGCACCACTTGGGTTTTCTGGTGGTTTATTGGAGATAAGAGTCTCACGGGCTTTCCTGCCCAGGCTGACTTTTTTTTTTTGTGGGTCGTGGGGCTTGAACTCTGGGCCTGGGCGCTGTCCCTCAGCTCTTCAGCTCAAGGCGAGCGCTCTACCACTTGAGCTACAGCGCCACTTCCAGTTTTCTGATGGTTTATTGGAGATAGGAGTCTCACAGTCTCTCCTGCCCGGGCTGACTTTTAACCGTGATCCTCAGATCTCAGCCTCCTGAGTAGCTAAGATTACAGGCGTGAGCCACTGGCGCCCGGCACACCTGTGTCTTCTTTGGGAAGATCTCTCGGCTAAACCACAGCAGAACACAGGATTGTTTTTCGCCTTCGCAGCCCATGGCCCATGGGCAGGACTTCAAATGATTATGTGTAGATATATTTAAAAACTAGGGGCTGGGAAGGTGGCTCAGTGGTAGAGTGTTTGCCTTGCATGCATGAGGCCCTGGGTTCGATTCCTCAGCACCACATAAGCAGAAGAAAGCTGGAAGTGGCACTGTGGTTCAAGTGGTAGAGCGCTAGCCTTGAGCTGAAGAACTGAGGGACAGCGCCCAGGCCCAGAGTTCAGGCCCCACGGCTGACAAATACAAACAAACAAAAATCTAAAATGTGTTTTGCTGCTTCACAGAAACAATGCAAACCCCCAATTCACATACATACTGCACCCCCAAATAACCATTTACTTATAGCCATGTTTCCTGCAAATATTTGTTTTTATTTTTTAGTGCCATTATTAAGGTATGAACTTAGGGCCTGCGCACTGTTCCTTAGCTTTTTCACGAGGCTGGTTCCTTAACCACTTGTGCCACAGCTCCCTTTAAGGTTTTTGGTTAGTTGGAGATAGTCTCATGCATGTTCCTGCCTAGGCTGGCTTTGAACCACCATCCTCAGATCTCAGCCTCCTGAGTAGCTGGGATTACAGGTATAAGCCGCCAGTGCCTGGCTAAGCATCTGCTTAACATAGGGAGCTACTGTGAGAAGCCTGGCTTCTGTGTTTGACTGAACACATGCTATGTGTAACTGCAAACCTTTTTTAAACTAGCAACCCCAAACCTGGCTGGGCAGCCGGCTTTCCACTGGAGCTGGCTAAAAATAACGACCTAGCCAGGCGGGGCGGGGCTTGGGAGTGTCCGGCAGAAGTGTGTGTGTGTCTCTGCCTTGCAGTGGCCCCCTCCACTCGCCCGCCCTCCCCCCCTCCCCCCCCACCCCCTGGCCTACCTGTGATTGTCTGCGTCTCGGAGGTGATGGTTGTGGTGGTGGTCTGAGCCTGGGTGATGGGCACTGTCTCCTCTGCCACGAACTGCACGGTGCCTGGCGCGGCCGCGGCGCTGCTCAGCTGGCAGCCGGTCTGCTTGTGGGTGACGAAGGCATCTAGGTTGTTGAACTGCTGCCGGCACACCCCGCAGATGTGGATGTCCGCGCTCAGCTCCACCAGCACCGCCGTGCCACCTGGAAGGCCCCAGGACGAAGGTCACCGCCCAGACCCATCCAGCCTGCACACCAGATTGATGCCAGGGAGCCGGCGCACACGGCAGACATGGTGGACAGAGCCCAGGGCAGAGCAAGTGAGGAAGATCACACCTGCAATCCTAGCTACCGACTCAGGAGGCTAAGATCTGAGGATCGGGGTTGGAGGCCAACCCAGGCTGGAATGTCTGTGAGACATTGTTATTCCCAATAAACCACCAAGCCAAACAGGAAGTGAGCTGAATGCTGGTGGCTCATGCCTATAGTCCTAGCTACTCTGGAAACTGAGATCTGAGGATCACAGTTCAAAGCCAACCTGGGCAGGAAAGTCTGTGAGACTCTTATCTCCCCCCAATTAACCACCAGAAAATGGGAAGTGCCACTGTGGCTCAAAGTGGTAGACCATTAGATTTGAGCACAAAAGCTCAGGCACAGGGCGTAGACCCTGAATTCAAGCCTAGGACTGGCCCACACACATAAAAGCTCCCTCCCACTTTGATACATATCACTCTATAAACATTGCTTGTCCCAATCAGCTCTGTTCCCTGAATACTTTGGAACCCCTTCAGCACAGTGCTAGAAGTTTCTGGAAAAAGACTGGTGTTCATGATAAAAAGGGAGCAAGCAGCAAGGGTCCCGTTCTCTTCTTTTGGCTTTCAAAGTATAAGTGATGCCAGGGTTTCTGCAGCCACTGTCACTATGAGGAAGCTGCCAAGATCTCTGCTGATTCCAACCCTTACAACTCTGATCCCTGAATCTGATCCTGGAACCAACCAATTCCAGACTTTCTGCATCCTTCAGCTTTGTTATTTGTAATTAAAATTCATCCCTGACAGGGATATTATTTCTCCACAGAAAGGACACTAAGAGTTCATATGTGTTCATTACTTGCAAGGATCCTAGCTGGGTATATAACACTACATTAGAAAGTACTACATAAACGTTTGTTAAGTATGAGAATATAATTAGTCTCTACTAGCAAAAGCTCACTTTTTATTTATTTATTTATTTTTATTTTCTGGGTTAGGTCGTGGGCCTGAACTCCGGGCCTGTCCCTCAGCTCTTCAGCTCAAGGCTAGTGCTCTACCACTTGAGACACAGCGCCACTTCCGGCTTTTTTTTTTCTTTTTGCTTATGTGGTGCTGAGGAATCGAACCCAGGGCCTCATGCATGCAAGGCAAGCGCTCTGCCACTGAGCCATCTTCCCAGCCCTCACTTTTTATTTAAATTGCATTATGCTAACAAAGCACATATTGCAACATGTTTGTGTGTATATACACACACATAGACACATACACACGTATGTGTGTGAGGATGCTGGGTACTGGGACTTGTAGTCGGGCTTCCAGTCCTCGATTGGCTTTTGCCCAAGGTTGGCACTCTTGCTTTTTTTTGGTCCGTCGTGGGGCTTGAACTCTGGGCCTGGGCGCTGCCCCGGAGTTCCATCAGCTCAAGGATGAGCGCTCTACTACTTGAGCCACTTCCGGTTTTCTGGTGTTTTATTGGAGATAAGAGTCTGCCCGGGCTGGCTTTGAACTGTGATCCTCAGATCTCAGCCGCCTGAGAAGCTGGGGTTACAGGCGCGAGCCACCGGCGCCCGGCTAACGCGGGGTGCTCGGCCTCGGGATCTGCGAAGTGGGGAGAGGGGGCTGAAGAGGGTCCGGTGGGGGGCTGGAGAAGAGCCAGCCCGCCTGCGCCCCGCCCCCCCGCAGGTCACTGCCGGGGTTGCTGGTCGGTAACCCTGGTCCGACCTCAACCCCACCCAGGGGAGACTGAGGCCAAGGGGGCGGGGCCAGGGGCATCCGCGCCGACTATATTGTGCAGGGAGCCCCAGCCCACGGCTCGGGAACTCCCCGGCACTTGCGGCCGGCCAGAGGGTGCGGGTCCCCGTGCTCCCCGACTTCCCGGCTCCGGGAGGGGCCCGCGGGTCGCTCCCGGACCCCGGCGGGGCCCCGAAAGCGTCTCTGCCG